CCGTGATTCTGCCTGCCACAATTTATAAACCAGTTGTCCCAGGGTACAGCAGATTTGGAGGTAAATATTCAGGCCCCAGAATGGCCACAAACTGGTACCATTCTGGGTCTTTCTCTATAGCTCTTCAGGAAATGCCCCAAGCCCTGCCCCCACCCATCCTCTCAAATTCCTTCTCCGTCTGTACTGGGTCCCACCGCCCAAGGGTGTGTCTCACGTGTGCTCTGGAAGTAGTCTTGCCAGCTACCCTGAGCATCTGCAGCTGCGCCCCCTTCCTGCTCAGGCATCTTACCTTGGTTTCATGAAACCCTCCTACAGGTTTTAATTCTGTCCCTACTGCAGACTCTCTGCCTTAGTCAGAGACATGCATCTTCAGGGGTTGGGGTCAGTCACCATCTGAGTGACTGACACTATTCCACATTCAGAATAACTACCTAACCGGACACCCACCCACAAACTCATAGTGACCCCCTGCCCTGAAACAAAATCAAAATGGCTTGCATTCTCTCTCTCTCCTTAGAATTCATTTTTTTCCAAAGGGCTCCTTGATCCTTCATGCAAATAGAACCCTAGGTGCCTTCCTACTTGCCCTGTAGGTAGGTTTGAACCCTGGAGTGAATATAATTTAAGCTCAAGCTGGACCTCGTACACAGAAGGTTGAATTAGACACCTCAGGTCTGACTAATTACCAACACTGGTCTATGCAAGGCGCTTTTCGTGGTTATATGTTTGTCCCCCTTTGTGAGCATTCCTCCCTAGTTCTCCAGTCTAGTATGTTTTATTTGTATCGTGTTGCTTTTATGTGTTCCTACATAGTATGTATCATTTTGAATGTGATAATTAATCTGCACCAATAGTATTGTGTTACATAACTTAACTTTATGTCTTATCTGCTTTCCCTGAACACTGTGTATTTATGATCCATCCATGTTGTTAGGCACATGCGGTCCCTTACTCCTAATGCCACCTCATCCCTTCCAGCGTGCATCTGCTCGCCACATTTTACCTGTCTGCTCAGCCAGCGTGGACGCCCACGTGACCTCCAATAATGCTGCAGTGAATGCCTCACTCATGACATTTTGTGGGTGGGAGGTGTGTGAGAATCTCTCTGGGACACTGTATTAGTTTGCTAGGACTGCCCATCAAGATGCTACAGAGTAGGCAGCTTGAACAACAAACATTTGTTTTCTCACAGTTTTGGAGGCCAGGAGTCCAAGATCAAGGTATTGTGGGTCTGTTTTCTTTTGAGGCCTCTCCCCTTGGCTTGCAAACGTCTGCTTATTCCCTGTGTCCTCGCATGGCTTTTTCTCACCCGAGCGCATCTCTGGTGGTCTCTCTGTGTCCAAATTTTCTCTTCTTATAAGGACAACAGTCAGGTTGGATTGGGGCCCACCCTAATGACCTGATTTTAACTTAATCACCTCTTTAAAGGTCCATTCTGAAGTACTGGGAATAGGATTTCAGCACATGAATTTTGGGAGGACACAGGTTAGCCCTCGTCAGATACATACCATGAGTGAAACTGCTGGACGGCAGAGTGTGTGCGTGCTTGATCTGACTGCATGCACGTACACTTACATAAGGAACGAATGAGGGCCTCTATCCTCAGCCCCACCTACATTTGGCATGCTCCAGCTTTCTACTTTTTCGCTAGCCCAATAGGTATAAAGTGCTATCTCCTCATTGTTTAAAATTTCATTTCATATGCTTGTTAGTTTTCAGGATTTTTCTTTTCTGTAAATAGCCTGCTAAATATCTTTTGCCCATTTTTCGATTGCATTTTTCTTTTTCTAGGAGATTTGCAGAATGACCTTATATATTCTAGATAATGGTTTTAGACATCGCTAATATCTTCTCTATTCTGACATTTGTCTGTTAACTTTGTTCATCGTGTACTTCATGAAATAGGAGAAAGCTTCAATTTTGATGCGATCAAAGCCATCAGTTTATTTTTTCATGGTTTGACCTCTAAAAGTTTTGTTTAAAAGGTCCTTCCTTAGGCTTAGATCACAGAGATAATCTTCCACATATTCTTTTATAAACTTTAGTTTCACCTTCAAATTTAGAACTTAAATCCATCCAGAGTCCACCTTTGTATGTAGTGCTAGGTAGAGATGGACTTTTTTGGCCCTCTAGTGGGTTGGTTTTCCCAACGTCATCTCCCAAGTAGTGTCTTCTCCATTAGAATATAATAAAGGTGCCGCTTTGACCTTGTATTAAATTGCCATATATTTAGGGGTGTGTCGCTAAGCTCTCTGTTGTAGCCCACTGGTCTGTCTGTTCTTATGTCAAACCACACTGGTTTTATTGTTGTTTAACCTCGGCTTTGTGCTATGTCTTAATGAACTGCTAAGGTAAGCCTACCCATTACCCCTCTTTCTTTTTTAAGGTTTATTTAATCATAGAAATGTATTCCCTCCTGTAAATTTTGGAGTAAGTAAGTGGAATTCCTTAAAAAAAAAATCCAGACAGACTCTGACTGGGGAGGCACTGAGTCTCTAATTTGGAGACAACGTTTTTGGAATATGTCTGGCTTTTACTCAGATCATCTCCTATGTGCTTTACTAGGTCTTTTAAGTCCTTCTCATAGAGGCACTCTAGGTTCCTATAAACCAGTTAAACCAGGCATTTTACAAACTTAGTTGACATTATTAACGTTATTTTATATTTTATTATATTTTCTAATTTATTGCTGGTTTAGAATAAGGACTGGTGTTCATAGGTTAATTTTGATTCTAGCAATCTCAATAAACTCAACTATTCTGAGAGTCTCTCTGTTGATTCTGCTTGGTTTTCCGGGCATGTGATCCTTTCATCTATAAATAATGACAGCTTCATCTCTTTCCTTACAATTCTTGAACCTCTCTTTCTTTTTCTTTCCTTATAGCTTTGGCCAGGGCTACTGGTGCTACAAAAATGGTGGCTGTGAGAGTTGATATCCTTTTCTTATTCTTGATCCTAATATTTCCCCATTGAGCTATGATAATTTTTTAATCTAGTTTTTCTGATGTATAATCCTTATTAAATTAAGGAAACTTCCTTCTACTAAATTTCTGAGAACTTACACAACCTTATGGATTTTCTGTATTATTTGAGATAATCGTGATTTTTCTCCTTTAGGCATTAATGAAATAAATTACATTGATTTTTCTAATGTTAAATTCTATTTGCATTCATGGAATAAACCCTATGTGAGCATGATGTAGTATGTTTTAATATTCTTGGTTTTAGTTAGTTCATTTTATTTTGGATTATTGCATCTATGATCATAACATGAACCAGACCTTTGCTTATATTGTTTTTATCTGGTTCTGGAATCAGTATTTTACTAGCTTGATAAAATGAGCTAGGAAGCTATTGCTCTTGTCCTATTTTCTAAAACAACTCTTTCTTACAAGTTTGTTAGAATTCATTTGGAAAACCATCTCAGCTTTTTGGACAGGGAAGGGGATTTAGAACTCCCATTTCAATTTCTTTGGTATCTCAAGTTCTGCTCTCTGTTTCTTCTGTCCTGTTTCAGTCTGATCCTCTTGTTCATAGATACCTCAATCCCCACTGCCCCATTCACATGTTGCACTCAGTCTTTATCTCTGGAGATCCTGCCTGTACTTTAAAGCAGAACTTAAATCTCTATTTTTATGAGTCAATTTCCAACCTGGCACAACACTGTTATCCCTTCCTCATTGCCCCCGATAGCTCTGGGTGTACATCTTACACATTTGTATTACCCTTGTCAGGGTTATCTCTATGTGCTATTTCCATTTTTATCCAGCAATGTCATACTTAAAACATGATCTTTACCTTGCATGAAACCCTGTTTTCTCTAAAACTAAAAATAAATTTAGTAAAACTAGAGAGCATAATAGTAATGTGTGTCTATTTTTTGCCCTTTCTCTTTGAATACAAACATTAAAAGTTAGAAGCTTTGTGCATAGAGACTTTGTACAAACATTGTTCTTCATCATCCAAACTGCATCCCCACCCCATCTGCCCCACGAAGTCCTGCCTGATTCATCTGGACAGAGCTCACTGCTCCCGGCAGCTGTCTCGCATACCTGGATCTCAACCTCAGTCCCTAAATTCCTCCTCAGTAAATGTATATGGGAGGGAACAGGAATGCTGGCAGACCTGAGATGTGGGGAAATCCACCACCTTCCAGGTAAGGCGTGGAGATCCACATCTAGGCTGAGCTGGTGCGACTTCCAGGAGGGTCCTGCTACCCATTGCAACCTGCCTGTTCTAGGTAGCACTGACTGTTCACTGTGATCAGGGATAGTATGAAGCCGCAAAGAGAAACAAATGGCAGGTGTATAAACTATGGTTCTATTTACCTTTCATTCTCTTTTCTAAGCAATTTCCCTTTACCACAATGTCGGGATTACAGAGATGAAAGACTGTCACTTCCCCTACACCCCAGTCAAGGTGCTCACAGTCTGGTGAGAAAATCAAACACACTAGCTGAAACCTACACACAATAAGCGCTGTGCCAGAAGCAACTTCCAGGGCCTGGGGGAGGCCCCGGGGGCTACTCTCTGGTGGAGCCCACCTGGGGTCACAACCCCAACATCGTCATCAGCACTCAGTCCCATGAGCTGCCTTAGGGAAGTGGGACCTTTTCTGTGAAATTCCAACCCCACCACATATTAGCTGTGGGGCTTTAGGAAAGCTGCCCTGTCCTTCTGAGCCTCAGTTTCTCCATCTGTAAAATGGGGCAACAGCCCCTGCCCCTGAGGTGGTCGACATGAGACACAAAGGAGATGATGTGTGGTGTCCGGCCCGCAGCAGGGGCAGGCTCCCCGGAGCTGCTGTCTCCCTGTGGCTAGTGCCACGGCTCTCTGCTTCTGTTGCAGGTGGTGACACCGGACGGGCGAGGGAAGAACCGGGCTAAGTGGGGCCTGCTGAAGAATATCCAGACCGCCCTCCAGAAACGCTTCTGAGCCGCCGCGGAGCAGGCAGCAGCCTCAGAGACACACCACAAAGTAGGCAGATACAGACACACACGTACGTATATGTATTTTTCTCACCACGGTCTTCAAGGAGGTTGTAGACGATGTTCCCAGGACCTCTGAGCCATTTCAGCAGGAGTCTGCTAAGAGCTAATAAAGGGAGATGCCTGATGTTGCGGCTTGCTGTTTGTTCATTAAATTGAAAGTACGATGCAGAACTGTCAGCCAGTTGCTCTGTTCCATTAGCTGAGGCCTCACCCTCGGCTCAGAATTCTGAGGTGTTTTGTATGCCACGGTGTTGATTAAAACCGAGGGGCGCTCTCTTTGCCGTCAGGCCCCCTGGGTGTGCGCTTTTGCCCTGGTCTAACTAGCTGTCGGGGTTGGGCACGTCACAGATGGATGGGGAGCTCATGCCCCCACCGTGCAGTCTGATTTAACAGTAAAAGGCCAGCACTGTGAGAATGTTCCTCCTAATGACTGAGCCTGAACTTGCCTTCCCATAACTTTAACCCCATGGTCGAGATCTGCCTCTGAGCCACAGAGAATGAGAGCACTTCCTGTTCTCCTCACTCCGTCGAGTCCCCAGAGCAAAGGAGGGGCAGTAGAATGCCTGGGGGGAGGCCCCCGCTATGGTCCTCTGAAGCAAGGCCCGAAAGAATGGCGGAGTCATGTGTCAGCTCCAGCCTCCCTGTACTTGGCCAGGCCCTTCAGACAAAGTGAAGCCCCAGAGTTTCCTGCCTGACAAGGACCCATCTGCCTGGAATGACCCTCTGCTGCCTAGAAAACACCACTGGTCTTTTAAGACCCAGCTCAACCACTCTTCTGGGAGCCTTTGCTGATTCTCCAGGTGGGAGTGATCCCTCCTTTCTCCCCTGGGTTCTCACTAAGAGCCCCCTCCCCCTCCTATCCCCCAAAGGGACATCTCTTCTGGCCATGATGCTCAGGAGCTCTCATTAGTCCCCAGTCTTTAGGGCAGAGACGGCATCTCATTCATTCTGTCCCAGTGGCTGGCTTAGGGAACCTCCGTGCACGTTAGTCCCAGGGACAGAGGAACTACCCCAGAAGACAAACAGAATGACCCCTCTCTGAGCCCCACCCACCATGTGTCAGTTTGCATGATGAGGGTCTACACACAGAAGCGGGAGAGGGCATGGAAAGGGCCAGGCGGTCAGTGATCTCCACCTCCTCTAATCCTATCCTTTTCATGAGCTGTCCCGCTGGCAGGTGTGGCCAGCCCATCTCGCTTCATGCATAGGACTATGTCTTTGCAACCCTTTATTTTGCCCAGAGGCTCAGCATCAGAGCCAGAAGAGGCCCTTTCCCTATGAGAGGTCCCTAGTGAAGATCTTCTAATAATGTGAGATGAAGCCAAGCAGATTCCTGCCCCGCCCCCCGACAGTATTATAAGAAGGAATACCCCAGGGAGCTTCGTGATGATCCTATTACTGTAAATGATGGCTTGAATCCACCATCAGATTTGGTATTACCATATAATCATTTCTGTAAAAGGCTTCAGAATCATCATTAGCACGGGGAGCAAATTAAATGACATGCCAGCAGGGATTTTACTATGGCTAAACTAAAATGAAATTAAACTAAAAAAAAATGATACAAAATTTGCATTACAATGATCACACCTGCTCACAGAGCCAAGGAGGATGCCAGAATCAGAAGAATCAGAGAATCTATTTCTGTCCTGTATTTACGCGTTGTTTTT